CTTCGCTATTACCATTATTATTTACTACTACTACTACTACTACTACTACTACGACTACCGCTACTGCTACTGCTACTGCTACTGCTACTGCTACTGCTGCTACTACTGCTGCTGCTGCTGCTGCGACGACGACGACGACGACTACTACTACTACTACGACGACTACTACCACAACCATTACCGCCACCAGCATCACCACCACTACCAGCAGAGGAGGCTGTTGAATCTGCTTCTGCTGTTGATTCTGGTAATTAATAAGAATTATGAAGCAAGCAGACTTGAACAATGGGACATCCGTGACCCTGGAAGCCCTGCAGCGGCGTCTAATGTCCTCAGAGTCCCTGAACCAGTACACCTGTGGCACCAAGCCCTTTTCAAGGAGTCCCTGCAAGGACACCCTAAGTCCCAAGCCCTAAGCCTCTAAGCCCCAACTTCGCACAAGTGTTCGGCTGGCCGGACATGATTGGCCGGATACTTTCCGATGCCCTTCTTTCCACCGCGAGCGACCTGAACTAAGAAGGGGGCCATGTCTGGACTCGGATCATCTAGGAGCTCTGTACTCAGAATACATCATGCTACTCACGATTCTGGCAGGAGCCACCGAATCCTGTGGGATGATTCGAGAAGGACCAAATCGGTTGCACACTCCGATGACACGGGTCATTCAAGCTCATGCAAATGTACATGGGTTTTGAGCTTAAGGGACAAAATCCAAGCTTACGCCTTGGAACTCAACAACCTTGAAACCGAAAGGCAGCTTCTGCACTGCAAGATGAATTCTGACACTCAACGTCCCAAACCTCAACTTTGAGTTCAAAATCCCAAGCCCCTGGCCGTTTAATCCTGCACCTCAAGTGCCCAAGACCCATAAGCCCCAACACCTCTGAACCTGAAGTGCCAAACCTTGAGAGGCCTCTTCCCCACCCTAAACCCTAAAACCCTAAAACCTTAACCCACAAACCCTAAACGTCAACTCTGGCCTGGAGCCGGAGCCGGACACATCATTCTCGTAGCACTCCTCGGGGCTGAAAAATTCACACTCCTGCCAGGCCCTGGTAAGATGAAATAGTAATATTCACTCAATAATATAAGAGTGGTGGCAGGAATAGTATGTCATGTATTGTAAAGTCATCCCAGGAGGAGGTCGAGTTAGGCCGGGACCACAGTTTGGCTCAGGAGGTGGATCCCAGGTTGGCCACTGGAAACATGGTCGCGCATCCCTTACTGTAATGAACCTTTCTATGATACTTTCAGTGGGCCCTAAAGACAATGAGGCCCAATGATGGAAAGTCCCTTGGTTCAGACACTGTGATTGAAGATGCTTTCTATGATGTGTTTCGGTGGGCCCTTAAAGACAATTAGGCCCAATGATTGAAGGTCCCCATAGTTCAGACCATCCACTTTCAATCAATCCCCGAAGTTCTCAGAACCGTTCGACCCGTGGGGCGCTTCAAGAAGGACACTACTTCGTTTAGGGTTTAGGGTTTAGGGTTTAGAGCTTTTCTGCCCCTCCCTCTTGTTGGGGGGCGGGTGCGCAGATATACTTTTCAGGGCATCCAACACTAGTGGGATGCCAATCAAATGCCCCACGTGATTGCGCACGGGCAACGAATCTAAACAACCACACCCAAAACCAAAAATCTCTGGACGTACGCATCACCCCTAACTCTAAAGCTGTAGACCCTAAACCTCTAAAGCATGAAGGCAGTCAATAGTCCATGAGGGGAACCCTTTCAAGCACCATCTTTTCTCGGAGGCGCTTTGCCCTTTACAGCCCGCCCTCCAGCTTCTGCTTCATTTTCTAGTTGAATTGCTGGTATGGGCTAAGCGTAGGACTTTACCCTAAGACCTAAAGGATCTACCAGCTTGTATTTTCTTTTCCGTTCCCTGCCACGAACTCCACGCACTCCTATGACCTCCTTTAAAACTCTACACCAGGAAAGTCAGGAGAGATTCTGCCAGCTTGCGGTGTAACTCCCAAAAGCTCTCGCCTGAAGCCTCGGGGAGAGATTTTAGGGCTAAGGATGGCTAAGGGTTAGGATTTGGGCTCTTGCCACTTGCATGACCATAAGGCATTGCAAGGGTTCAGGTTTAGGGTTTAGGGGTTAGGGCTCAGGATTCATGCTCAACGCTACAATGCAGCGTTCCCACACTCAGGGAACTACTATGACTACAGATTTGCTTCTTTGAGGGAGCCGTGCCTGCCCCCAAATTTCGCATGATAGGGCCCATCAAGCTCAATATTGTGTGGCCCGCGAAGCGCAAGCATGCCTGGCACACGGAACTCCAAAAAAAACATCAAGGCTCCTTTCTCTGCTGCCTGGCCATCATGCAAAAGCTAAAGAAGTCCTGAGCTTGTGAATCGCCGATTGTGGTTCATTGATCCTGAATGTCAACTAAAAAAGGCTTTTGACTGCCAAGAGGCCACCATGCCTGGGTCCCACTCTGGATGAGCGGCCCGAAATGAACCAATTGGCTACGGGCTGAAGGAACGCGCGATTGTTGGGCTCTGAGTTCGCGTCGGGCAGGAAATTAGTGGACTCATACCAGACATTTCACAGCTTTACTACTCCATGCATCTGGATGTACTGTGGTGTACCTTCTCGTTTTTTTGTTTTTTCTTCTTTTTTTTCTTTGTTTTTCTTCGACGGTTCTCCCTGTTGAGACCTCTTTACAAAGGCTCTTCCTGAAACAGTGGAAGAGTGCAAGTGTGATGTGTTCAAGGCCTAGTTAAATTCAAGACCTTCTTCTCTGCTTTGAAATGTCCGCCTCTCAGGAGCTCCAAAATGTACACCCTCAGAAAGTCCTGCATCATTTTTCTGAGAAAATGGTAATGAAACTGATTTACACCTACGATTTCTTCCTATACTCGCAATGGGTTTTCCACTAGTAAAGGTCCCCTGTCTTAGGGCTTCCCTATGATCATCTCACAATAGGGCAGGCAGGAAGATGTTTTCCAATTCTGACATACAGGTTTCCAAAACTGGGGGGCAAAACCCAATAGAGACCCCTAAATGCTCTGGTCCTTAGTGTAGGGGCCCCAGTAAGGGACCCCCAAATTTTCGGAAACATCGATAGGGACGCGGTTTAAGCCCTGAACCCAAGCCGCCCGGTTTAGGGTTTAAAAGTGGGCAAGAGAATGGTCAGAGCCTGGGGAGCATGTTACCCCAATGAGAGACCTTCAGCGTGCTAGAAAAGGGGCTTTATATGGATGTATAGGGAAATATGGGGATTGGGATGTATAGGGACATAAAGGAGAACATGACATGAGGGTATATCGGGGGATGTAGGGATAGAAAGGGGTACATGAGGATTTGTAGGATGTCGCAAAGAGTGGAAAGTCAGATGAAAGAGTACTGGAAACATGAAATGGGTCAGGAGGACCCTCCCCTGTAATAGTGGCATAATTGGAATATACGAGGACTCAATATAGTTATCATTATCCCTTATGGTCCCTATTACAGGGTGGGGTCCACCTAAGAAATGCGCTATAAGAATATAAATGAAAGGCTGACGGTCAACCGCCTGAAGCTAATAGTGAAGAACCGAATTGAACAGAGAATTGAAACTATATGATTGGGGATTTCATGGGGGCTACTACGGGGATCTCACGAGGGGTTTCCAAAAAATGGTGGTCAATTGGGGACCCCGAGAATTAGCGTTGTACCGCTTTGGGCTCTTAAGAGGGACCCTGCTTTTTTGGAAATGCTCAAATACACGTTAAATTCTGGATAATGCTCGAGGCCTTGCTAAAAATGATGAGTCCTTCTGCGGCGGTCTCCATACTGAGAGCGCCTTTTGGGAGGGGACCGTTGTTTAGAAGTTGTTCTCAAATAATGGCCCCTTGCTGTAAACCCTGTCAACAATGCACCTGAAGTCTTGGGTACTGCTACGGGTCCAATGCCCCGCTTTCGAGTTAAATCCACCCGCGCCTTCTAAAGCATCAGGGAACTAAGATGGCAGCTGCTGATGCTGCTTAACCAATCTTCACCTCTTTCTCAACATAAGCCTCACCTAGCGTTATGGCACATATGAATCACAAGACCCTTGAGAAGAGACCCAGAATGGTGTGATGCTTTGCTTCTACTGAGGTGCGGTCAGCGTGTCTGGCCGTTGGTATCTTGACTTTCGAGCAAGAAAAAAAAGGCCTGCATACCCTGATGCAGGAAATCATGAACTCAAGTTCAACCCTATCCCCAATACAGCAGGAGTTGAGTCACCGTGAGGGATCTTGCTTACTATCCATCAACTATTGTTTACCTCCACGATGACCATGATGACGAACATGATGATGGCGGTGGTGGTGATGATGGTGGTGGGCGTGAGGAGTGGTGGCGATGATGAAATAAGATCCAACTCTATAGAGGTCTCTACACGCAACACCTCCTCCAGCTTCATGAGCAATCAGACTCAAAGGTCCCGAAACTTTCCCCAGCTTTCTGTAGCTGCCCGACCTCTGGGGAAGCTGTCGCCTGGACCTGCGGAAGCTCGCATCAGGGTTAGGGCCTGCCAAGGCTTTCCATGCACATGGACAAACCTGAAGGCCTGAATCCAATGTGCATTCCAACGAAGCTCACTTGGAGTCAGTGTTGGAATGAAGGCTCTCGATTTGACTTACTTTTGGATGGCGATGATACTGTAGTCCCCTTAGACCGATAATGAAAGTAGAGCTGTGGCCTAAACCCTTTGTATCGCGGACGCCACTCGCAATACTGACGCGCACAAGGAATAGATGACGCGCATGTATTGTAGCCGAACTGTACTGGCGCGAACTATCGCGGCTTGATTTCAGGCCATTAAATCTCACTTCACTGACGCGGCCACAATGGGAACCTTGTTTTTGAAGATGCAAAGCTAGGCAATCTGCTGTCGCAAAGACTATCGCCATGGGAATGTTCATGCTTTACTGGCGCGAACTATCGCGCACACCAAAAAATCTGACGCGACCAATCATTACTTTAATGTTGACATAAAATCCCACATGGGGGGTTTTGGCCGCCGCTCAAATAGTCTGTAAAGCCTTTCCTTCGGGTTACACTAAAATGGAAATTCCTGAGGAAACTACAGCATACTCGGCCTTGCTGCAGCTGTTGTCGGTGGCATCTTTGTGTTTCCTCGTTGCTGTTGTTGCTGTTGCGGTTGTGATTGTCAGCGTCGCCACGGCCATCGGTGTAACCATGCGCGAGGTCGTTGCACTATTTGCACTTTGATTCGACAATCACACCAGTCAAACTTCCCTGCTCTGGTGCAGAAACCTCAATCGCAACTCAAACCTCGCAGAATTTGTTGGGAGAAATTGGGAGCATGTTGCTTGTGATTGTAGACGCGGGTAGTTTCCAAGTGAACCAGACATCCCGAGCTTTAAGCTAGGTGTGAGCCCTCTCATTGGTCTAACGAAGGTGCTCCAGTGACTGATTCGGGAGCTCTGATGAAAGCAAAGCCCCCGATCCTTCGGGACTCTCAGCAGTTTAATGAACCGGACATGGTCTCGTACTGTCTGACCAATGTAAGCATGACATTCGCGCCAATTTCAACTGCTTTGGCTACCTCCAAGCATGGTCTGCACGCCGGTCGGTAAGGCTCCGACTTAGCCCAATCCATAATCCGCAGAACACATGGCAAATGCTGAAGGGCGTCACTTGACCATTTTCAGTTTCAATTCATGGAGATCTCTCTTAGATTCCTTTTCTTAGCATATTCTACCAGTGCCGCCAAAGCGATTGTATTTGCATGCTCTGATTGAAGTACACTCTTCTGAAAGGACAAACAAGCGCTATAGAAACAGTCAACTCATGGAGAGGGTGAGATCATGACGGCCGTTCTTGGGCCTTAACATGCTACGACCCTTCTGAGCCGATGACCTGAACATTGAAAAGTGGCAATCGGGCAGGGGTCTTTGCAAAGCCCACGGCTATTTCGTAAATGTAGGCAGCCTGCAAACTGACAGTTCTGTGCAGCACGGATTGTGTCAGACTTCACATGACCAATTCCACTTCGCTGTAAATGTTAAGCTTCTGGTCTTGGAAGAACACCAAAGACGCAATGAAAGATGCTTGGGCACTCTTTGTTGTACCACGCTGTCACGCAGGCCATTTTGGGGGCATCCTTCGGGGCATGTACAGGGCTGCAGTCTCTTGACAAAGGCAAATTTGACGGAAGACGGGCTGCCGCACTATCCGCACGTGCTGCATGCAGATCAATCAAAACAAAAAAAAACGACTTCGTAATTATGAAGGACTGCACTGACATGCACTGACAAATTGGCTGCGATAATGGTAACCTCAACAGGAAAAGCCTTTCGTGACACTATCCTGCAGTTCCAAGGACACACACTTCTCGCAACGAAAATCGCAAGTCCTAGTACCGGCTGCGTCCGTACCCTCACATCGCCTGCCGCTATGTCCGAAATCTGTAGGTTCAAGGGCGTCACACAAAGTTGTAAATGAAATGTTTGATATCAGGGGACGCAAAGGAAGCCACTACCGATCAAAACATGCAAAGAGCCTCCTAGAGGCAACACATAGACAGAAGGAATGACCTGCCAAGCAACACTAGCTCACCTTGTAAAGGTCATGAAGTCAGTTCTTGAAAATGACCGGCTTTTCTTCCCGAAATACCGAAAAACTGAATCCGCATTGTAGATACGCCAAGCACCGCCAAAAAACTCTGAACAAAAAAACAAAGCATCGCTTGTTTTCCGCGCAGCTTGTAAAATGCAACTAGATTCCGAGTGTGCACAAGTTGCGGCAGCCCACCAGGCTACAAAACATTCAGCCAAATATAGGGATTATGGAAAAGAAAATGGAAACTACTATAGTATAATGGGGTATTTAATGAGAATATAATAGGGATCCAGCTGATACAGCATGTTTAGGGAGTTTAGGGCTTAGGCCGTAGGAATTATGAAGGGGTTCGGGGATATCAGCTTTCGACTTCGCGCATGGGGTGACTAATGTAGGGATTGTAATCTTACACTGCACCCCTCAGCCGACTCAACATCAAATGTGAGCAGCTGCAACTAAACGCTTGGGGTCAGGGCTGGACACATCCACACATCAATCGAATAGCCTACACTACACCCTAGACCCTGCAAGGTCTAATCAATGGAAGTTTTGAGCCCGGCCTATGCAAAGCCTGCCGCCCCTGGCACGTCACCCAGAGCTAACGGAATAAGCAGCCATGCAAGAAGAGGAGGGTCCTTATGTGGAACCTTAGCGTTGGCTGTACACATAGGACCAGGGATTCCAAGAAGGTTAGGGAAACCATGGACCCCTCCACCCCTTCATGAAGATTCACGTGAATTCTGCCATCTTGAAGGTTGGACCCTAGGATTTCACAGGCCGCTCAAGCAGCATTCATGTTGCCAAAGTCCTCTGTACATGGATACCTCTTGAGCCCCAAACCCCCACCCAAACTGGTAGCTACTTCGGGTTGAAGTGAACAACAGCCCGGTACTAGGCTTAGGCTCCCCAGGACCGGGTGGGAGGTCAAGGACAGCATGCGGATCCCAAGATATGTGCCAAGGCTGAGGGTTTAGGGTTTAAGCTTTTCTGTCCCAGGTTACGGTTCAAGATTTAAGGTCTCGAGTTTAGGGCAATTTTGTTCTGTCACTTGTGTGGCCACTCAGGATCAGAAGGTTAAGCTCCTAGACAGAATATGCATCCCGAGCACGAAATCGCTGAGGGGAAACTGCCTCCTCCTTCTCCAAATGCCACATCAGCTTCGTAGGGGTACTGTTCGAAAGCCAGAGACAGGTTTAGGGCTTCTAGGGTGTTGTGATGTTGCCCAAACGAACTTGCCAAATACCAACACGTAGCCTTTCTGCACGGGAAACAGAGCTGCTGACTTGAGGCTCAGCAGCTGAGTGTGCTGGGATTCAACCGGCTTTCAAAGCGTGAGGGGAAGGAACTTGACAGCTAAATGAAGGCAAGAATGAAAGCTAAACCCCAGGGACTTCAGCTGCGGGCCTTTGTTTCGATGGGACCCTCGTTGAAACTGAAACTTGAACCTTCCGACGCAGTGTGAGACCCGTCTTCTCCCAGCCAGGGTCGTAAGTTGCCTAAAAAATATTGGGGCTATATTGGGGTAGTATTGTAATAATGGAAAATGAAATGGAAACTACTATAGTATATTGGGGTTATATTGTAATAATGCACCACCCAAAAGCTACTCACCTTGCAAAGCATGAAGCCAGCGGCTACACTAAACAGACTCTTAGCTTTACAACCCTCTGTGAATTAAACAGCACACTGGATCTTAGAAACCTAGAATCACGTTGTTAAAAATCCGAGTCTGCAGACGGGTCCATGCTCAGGGCCTCCAATAATTGGAAACTCCCTGCTGCGCCCGAAAGCCAATGGCCTGAGCTTTCATTTTTGGAGCGTGCGCACGCTCAAAGGAGCCGTTATTAACCAACATCCTCTCCCCCGATGGCCCTGTGAAATTCCCTTCCACTGCTATTTCCGGCGTGTATGCAAATATCTGCGAACAACGGACTCTTTAAAACTTAAAAGCTTATGGGAAGTCCTGCATGAGTTGGGGGATAAGACAATTACGCAAATAGGGCACGCCTCAGGAAGTACTTCTCCACATGTTCCCCTACACCATCCCTACCAGAAAGTGCAGACCCGGAACTCTACACGTTACCCCTTTAATCCTACCATTCACTACAAACACCTGCATTCCGGGAAAAAAAACTCTCTGCCATACTTGCTACCCCCAAGACTTAAGCCCCAACCAACCCTAGATGTAATCATACTCATGTTGGGGACTATAGTACCCCCCCTAAACCCTAAACCCTGATTAGTAGTTTCCGTTTTATTTTCATTATCCCAATATCCCAATATCACCCCAATTTAACCGTAGTATGGTCCCAATGGGTACCTAAGCCCTAAACCCTACACCTTAAATAGTAGTTTCCATTTTACTTTCCGTTGCGCCAATATTAGTGTTTTCGTATTATTTGTATCCGTATATTTATCATTAAGATACTGCTCAGATGGTCTTCTTTTCCGCCGCCTGGGCTGCTTGAATCAGCGCCGCAAACCTCAGCAGCAGAGGGTTAAGCGTTTAGTTTAGGGGTTTGGGGGTTTAGGGTTTAGGGGGTTTAGGTTAGGGCTAGGGTTAGAGTAGCAGGGTATTGTGGACATCGTGATTCTGGAGAAATACCTCATAGACTGTTGCTGTTGGTTCAGTAAATTAAGTCCTTCACCACCTAATGTCACCAAACGACTGCAATTTCCAGGATTTTGGAGCACTTAAGGTGGTGCGGCATTTCCTGCATCAACTGTATGTGCATATGATAGCTCCCCAGCGGCCCCGTATCTTGTGGTGGGAGCTACTAAGGTCTTGGGTTTAGTAAGTAAGGATAGGCACACGGAATACTACAGACAGGCAGGAGATGCGGACCCCAAAAGGTGCCAGACACTCTAAGCCCTGCATAGCTCTTACATACTCCCCAACTTGAGGCCATCTCATA